TAGAATAATTGCTTTATTCTACCTCCAAAGAAATATTCCTTTAAAAGTTTTTTCTTTATTAAAGAACGGTGTCCAAAATCTTAGGACAACAACAAAAATACATTTAACGACTAAGAGGACGATATAAAAAATAAATGTTGCAATTATTGGATTCCTCCCAGCTACAGAGCAATCCCCAACAAATTTTCCTTTTTGACTATAAGCAACTTGCTCCATCCTACTTACATCCGCAACTTATTTTCAAAGAGGCCTCCAGATCTATTGCGCTCAACGTTAGCGTAATCTCCTCTAATAAAGTGATGTATTAACTTAATAATCTGGATGTAATAATACTGTAATGTGAGAATGATTTTATAATATAATACATACTATTTTTAAGCTTAACAGGAAGGAAAACATTGGATTGCCACTGACCAATAAAACGATTTAGGGCATTCTTCACTTCTATCCCTTTTCAACTATCAGCTACACCTAGAAAAATGATTTAGAGACCTGTCAAATACAATGTAATTGTTCAGATCCACAGAAATATCCCTATTTCAGTAGTTGTTGAACTCAATGTCTCTGTGTTACACTCAAAACACTTCATGGATGGTTGTGCGCGAACGGCAAATGCTAATGCTGAGCTTCATAAGTCCTCCGTAGGTACACAGTTAGAGTAAGCGAATACTTCTTTCAATGATTTTCTATGAAGAAAGTAATGAGATAGCTGCTTTACTTTCTAGTAACGGCAACTTTCGTACCCTCACTTTACTGAATGATTGCAGAAAGATTGGCGATGGCATGATGCCAGCACATCTTTACTGCTTCAACTTCACTTCTGTATTGCATAAAAATGGTTTTCTTCAAAAGTCTGAAAATTAATCTTCTTTCTTTTGCCCTGTTGACCATAGTTTCGCCTACGGTTTGTAGCAATTGCAAGTTACCTTACCCGTATGGTTTAGATGAGAGATAAAATTTTGAAAATTATTGAAGAAAAAAAAAGTTTCTTCTTAAAAAAGGTGGTATTCATAATGTTAACATTTGAAATAGAAAAAAAAGATGGAATTGTTTATAATATACAAATAAAAGCAAGTAAGGGTATTCTGCTTGTATCATAGAATTTTTTACATAGCAAATAGAGTTTTCTTTATGTTTGCTTCTTTCGGAGAAAATTTAGAGTCACTTATTCACATCCATTGCCCAACGCAGGTTATGAGGTGAGGACAGGCTCACACTTAATGTTCGTACATGTCCTCTAACAGAGCTGCAGTAAAACCTCTGATACACTTGAGATGAGATAGAATTAAGCAAAATAGTCTTTAGGAAATGTCTATTAATGTTTTTAAATATAAGGATAAGGATCTAATTGATAGAAAAAATAAGCGAGCACAACTGGGCTAAAAAAACAAAATTCTTTTGGAAAAAATTAAAGAACGAAAAGCTAAGCCTTTGTTTGACCCACCCTATGCAAACGAGCTTTTCCATCCATCGCTACACATATGTACTCATCATTTAGTTTCACATCGATAACGGTCGACAAGTAATCACTTTCGGCTACAGGCTGATTTGAGGCTGAAGAGCAACTGATTAGAATAAGCACATAAAAATCCCTTGGTACTGCTTTTTCCTTTCGATACACAGGGTTAAATAGTTATTGACTCATGCGTAGAAATTTCTCAAGAGATTTCTGCGCAATATTGGTATTCTCGACTTACCATAATGGTGCACATCGTATATCCACACTCGATTATTTGTTGCTACAGCTATATGAAGTGGTCCTACAGCAATCACTGACGGTTCTATGGCTACATTGATGACAATACTTCGTTGCTAAAAAACACATTACTTTAGTCGTTTTCCAGAAAACAATAATTTCTAGTAAAACGATTTTTTCAATAGTCAGATCTCAAAAATTTCCTTTGTAAAAATGTCTGCAAAAC